ACACTTGAGCACCTACCGCTGGCACCTTGACAGTCAACAGAGGGGACAACCGGAACCCGCATTCCCCTGTCATAACCTGCCCCAGTCCATGCTGCTTGGACTAGCCTCCCGTCCCTGCTCTGTGCTACAGTCAATCACCTAGGCTGGGAAAGAAAATTACGCTTTATCAACATCATCTCATCTGATCATTAGGACAGAGGTGCCTATGAGGCAAGTACTATGATCTCCATTTTACAAATGAAGAAACTGAGGTGCAGAGTGACCATCCAACTTGCTAAAGATCTTCGGAGGTGGCAGAGCCAGCATTTGATACAAGGAGAAAAGTCAGAAGAGACATGGCTCTGAGGAAGAGATCAAGGGGCAGAGAGAAGCATGCAGCCTGAAAGGGTCAAGAGGGGCAGCGGGCAGGGTTGGGGTGGAGGGGGGTGCTAAGAGATACGCAGGGTGCCTACCTGCTGAAACCAGGATGGGGCAAGGTGGAGGCAGGGAGACAGGGCAGGCTGTGGAACAGACAAGAGGTCAAGTTCAAAAGCACTGACTCTATTCACCCACCTGGATTCTGGGGCAGGCAAACCAGGAAGTTCTGGGCCATGTCGAGAAAAGATGAGGTCACCTGTCAGAGATGGGGGGGCTCCTGCTAAGCTCTTCACACTCCACCCTACCCAGAGGGCTGCCAACGGGAACTCTGAGATGTCAGCCCTGCTCAGGGCATTGACTCCACCCAGAAAGAGTGGTTGTCCAGCATCTGCTCTGAGGACCCACAGAGTCACCACGCCAACCAAACTCACACCACAGAATTAGGGAGGGATGCTCTGCATGGGGACCAGATGTCCCAAAAAATCCTGTTCACGCTTCACAGAAGCCTCGGGAACCGCCGGCTGTTTGCTAAGAGCACAATTCCCAGAGGCCCCTCTCATGCATCCAGAAGGATAACGGGGCCTCTCAGGTGGGCCCATGAAGTGGGGAGAGCCCCAGGGTATGTGGGAGGAAGGAACGAAGACTGCTCTGTGGGATTCTGAGGTTCCTGGGTACTTTTCTTTCAGCCCCTCGTCCATGTCAGTCTTCCCATCAGGGGCTCTCCCCTCAGCTTTTTTCTTACTTACCCTTCCTCATCCTTCAGCTCCTCGAGGCCTTCTCTGAGCTCCCTGCCCAGGTGAGACCCTCCCCCCATCGTGGGATCCCAAAGCCCCCATGTACTCGACCACAGCCCTCAGCACAGCTATAAATTTAAGCTTGTTGGATGACTAGCCAAGGAATGTCTGTTTCTCCCACCAGACCCTAAGCTCCAAGAGGGCAGGGCAGTGCATTTTTTTTCCTCACCATTTCCTCATCCCAGCACCTAGCAGAGTGCAGCCACAGAATGTCCTGAAATGAGCTCCTTCTTTTCATTCCTTCCCACATAGAACCTCCCTGTTCTCAAAGAGCTTGAAAGGCTCGGATGCAACACGTGATCTCATTTAATCCTCACCACAACCCAGGATGCACTTATTATTCCCACTTTACAGGTAAAGAAATGAGTTTCAGAGGGGAAGTCACAAGCCCAAACACACAGCAAGCAAGTGGCTTTGAACACAAGATTTGAACCTAGATATGTCTGGCTTCAGAGCCCCAACTCTGTCACTATACCACCATGCTTTCCTGCCCCAAGGGTCCTCTGAAACTAACTTTGCAAGCCTTCCCCTGTCCCCTAAACTGCCTATGCTCAAGACTGGCAGGCAGAATTCATTCATTCATTCATTCATTCGTTTGTTCAACCAATAAACTGACTCACTTATTGGTTGTGCCCTGCATGGGGTGCCAGAGAGCGAGATAGAGCAAAGGTTTTTCTCTGTCCTGGGCTCCCCTCCCCCCAGTGCTCTTGGGACGTTGCCAGCAGAAGCTGAGCCCCAGGCAGCCACCCTGTCCCTTCATTCCTCTCCTTCATTCTCTGAGGATTCTAGGACGAGAGAATGGACAGGATTCTGCGCCCTCCTTCCACACAATTCTCTGTCCCTTATCCCAGGTAGCTCTGGAAAAAGTTTTGGGGACTGGCCGAGTAGCACGTTGTTTAAGAATTGGTTTGGAAGCGCCAGCTCTGAGCAACAGGACCCCCGTTCAGATCCCACATTAGGGCCAGTGACCCTGCACCCTCTACAGCTAAGATGGTGAACAACAGCTCAACCTGGAGCTGGGCTGCCCGAGAATGGCCAGCAATGGTGTAGGCTGCAGTGGGGCTGCAGTGGGCTGCGTTCAGCTACCGTGAGTGGCTGGCAGCTGGCGTGAGCCACGGTGAGTGGCCGTCCAGTAGCCAGCAAGTGATCTGCCTCAGCCAGGAAGAGCGTAATGATAATACCAACATGAGCCAGTGAAGTGACGTCCTCCACAACTTGGCTAAAGAACAAAAAGACAGCAACTTGTCTGTTCCCCTTCCCCGAGTCCCCCAATAAAATCTTAAAAAAACAAACAAACAAAAAACGTTTTGGACTTAGAGTCACAAGACCAGGTTTCTAGCTCCAGATCTAGGCTAGCTGTGGGACCTTGGAACAAGGACCTGAGAACTGCCTCGCTCTGAACCCCAGGTCCTCATTTGTAAAATGGGGTGATAATGATGAGGATTCTAATGTCTACCCCACAGGGTGGTAGGTGAGGACTACATCACTCAGACCCAGAGATACAGTTATCACATAGATGGTTGGCCCAGGAAATGTCTTAGCAATGTGGGGACCTGTGGGGGGCCTGCTATGCTGCTGTCAGGATGCATTTGACAATGTGATTTTGGGAAGGTTGGTTGGGAGCACACCTAGCAGGTCAAGCCTGGGGCCTTCCCTGAGTGGACCCTCAGAAGTGAGAGGCTCTCCCCTGGCTCAATGGTAGTGGGGGAGCTGTGCTCATCAGCCCACCAGCCAGAGGCCCTGGGAAGAGGCTGGAAATGAACTGAACACACTAATGGTCACCTTTCCCCAGACTAGAATACCAAGAGCTCCCCTGGAGAGCACACGAGTATTTACCAGGAACCTGAAACTCTCAGAATTGTAGCTACTCTCAGGCCCACCTTAGGACAAGCGCCTTCCTCACTCTCCCTCTTTTAATAGTCACTGGATTCTGAAGGATCTGGAAATGTCCTCTTCTTTATCACACAAATAGCTTCCATTTATTGAGTCCAGGCACCAGGCCAGCTGCATTATATATGCTCTCTCATCGACACCTTACAAAAACCCTGTAGAAGTAGGTCCTATTATTATTACCCCATTCTATAGATGAAGAAAGGGAGGCCCAAAGGGGCTAAGTGACTTACCCAAGTCATAGAGCCAGTTGATGGCAGAGATAGGATTAATACACACACAGGTCGGCCTGACTCTAAAGGCTGCACTATCTCTGAAGGCAAAGTGAGGAGAATCTCCAAGAAAAATGCAAAACAAAGATCAACCCTGCCTATACTTGGGGGAATTTTCCCATTGTAGCTGATGATGAGTCATTGAAAACACAGGAAATTCTTGTGTTCTCCACTCTTCCTGGGGGAGCAAAGATCCCTCAGAGATCATCGATGCCAAAGCCCCCTCAACACCCACACACCTCATCCGATACTGCACTCCAATGCACTATGCCCTGTCCTGCAGAAACCCATACTCTGGAACTCATATCTCCCAGTCAAGGAAATTAGGTGGCTCTCCTTCAGATAGGGAAACTGAGGCAGGTGGGAGGTGGGACAGGGAGATGGTTGCCCCCTCTCTGATGGGCATCAGTGACTGGGCTGAGACCATATTCATATCTCCAACCTGAGTTCACAGTCTGCCCCCTGCCCTGCCTGGTGGCACCATGGCCCAGAGGTTCAGGGCTGTGCCCTCGACCAACCAGCATGAAGGACCCATTTCCAACTAATGGTCAATACCAGGGCATCTTTGTTATTATAAGGATAGGGGTTTCCTTTCAATCCTTTTGCCCATGTCTGAACTGGTAGAACTGGGTCAGGGGGCTGCTTCTGGGGCAAGCCGATGATGTGTTAGACTCTGCGAAGGTCCACAGATACTGAGAAGAGAGCCTCACTTACTGAGGTGAAAGCACAAACTCCAGCCAAAAACAAACCACTGCTGCCTTTGACCAAAAATAATAATAATAATAATAATAATAATAAAGACTGTTGGGAGAGGAGGAGAAAATGAAGAGCTGAGGCCTTTCTAAATAAGGTCCAGAGCTCCTGACCAAATGGTCACTGGGTACAGGTGCAGAGAGCTGACTGGCTGACCCACAGCTGTTGCCCACTGTACCCAGGAATATGGGCTCTCCGTTGCAAACCACACACAGGTGCACAAACTCAAGTGTCCAAGGCCACTCGGGGTGCTCCCCTCCCTCTAGAGTTTCAGGGGTTCACAAGAAACAAGTCACATTGTCACATTCTCATTCAGAGAGAATCAAGCTGTCAGTGTGGGACAAGCACACATCAACACAGGGACACCAACGGATGATCACCAAATGTGATTTGGTAGGTGCCCCCACAGTGGTGCAAATTCTCATTCTCTCTCCCTCTCCCTCTGCCTCTGCCTCTCCCTCTCCCTCTCTCCTGTGCCCCCACCTGCACAGACAGCCCACACACAGCTGTCTCCCCAGCGGCCCAGGGCACCTTGGGCATCTCTGCTCACCCCTGCAAGGTTTCAGAGGCCCAAACATACAACGCATTTGTACTGTCACAAACACAGAATCACCCACTTACAAACTGTGACAGACGCACAAACTGTCGCCAAACTGTCCCACATAGCCTGATGCAGAAGCAACGGGATGCAACAGATGATCAAATGTTATTTAGTTACACACACACACACACACACACACACACACACACGCGGAGATACAAATTCCAGCGTCCTCCTCTCAATGGAAGAGGTCTCCCCCGCTGGGCCCCGTGCGCCCCCTGCAGGAAATATAGAGGCTCTGGGAGTCAGGGGTCCGTGGTCGGGGTCCCAAGTCCGCGGTGCCCACCTTCACGCCAGGCCCAGACCCATGGTGCCAGCCCGCAGCGGACTCACCGGACGATGCCAAACATGACGAGCATGTTGCCGAGCAGTCCCACCGCGCACACGGCCGAGTAGAGCGTGGTGATGGCGATGGCCAGGGCGAGGGACGAGGCGCTGCGGGCGCCTGGCGGCCCCGACGCATTGGCGCTGGCGCTGGGGAAGGCGCTGGGGAAGGCGTCCGAAGCGGTAGCGAGGAGTGGGGGCTGCAGCTCGGAGTCGGTGGAGGGGGCCGGCTCCATGGCGGCTGGACGGCGGGCGCCGTGTCCTTCCCCACCGTGCGCCCTGGGCGCAGAGACCTGGGACGAGGGGCGCACCAAGGGTCGAGGCCGCCGCCTGGACGCCACTAGCTGCAGCGCCCCAACCGCTCCGCTGCCTCCGCACCTCTTTCGCCCGCCTCACCGCCCACACCGGCCCTGTCCCCGGCGCCCACCCGCCCGCTTTCCGCGCCCGGAGCGCTCTGAGCCTGGAGCCTCTGCGGGCTCCTCGGACGCGCCTGCCGCTCTCACCACGTGGCCCGTAGGCGGCCGCTAGTCTGCGCCGGGGACCAGGGGCGGGCTCTGCACCACCGGTTTGGAGCTGGACCGAGGAGACTTCCCACTCCCTCCCTAGAGATACCTTGCGAGCTCGGGTGCACCCCACCTAGTCGGGACTCACCCACACACACGCCCCTTTGCTGCTTTGAAGTCAGAAAGACCTGGATGTGAATTCTGCCTCTCGTCCCTGCATTAACGAACAGTGACCTTGAGCAAGTTACTTAACCTCTCTCAACTTCGTTATCCTCGTCTGTAACACGAGGATAATCACACCACATCCCTCAGAGGGTTGTTGGGGAGATTAGCTAAGATGATGCGAGTGAAGACCTTAGCTCAGTGCCAGGCACACAGTAAGTGCTCCATAAATAACCATTATTATCCATGGGGTTTTTTTGCACCCCATTCAGATTTTTTGGGAGTGCTGAGTATAAGAGCCAAGTACTATTGGAGATTCACTAGATGCAGCCCCTACCTCCTGGGGCTTACAACCCAGTGGAGGAGAGAGACGCCAATTCTAAAATTACACTAATGAAGATACAGTTACAAATTGAGGCAACGAAGAAAAGCAAGGCTTTCCTGTGGCAGAGTCTACAAAACCCAGAGGTCATGACAGCTTCCCTGCGGAAATGACATTGAAAGTGAGATGTGAAGTTTGGAAACCAACTAACTTGGGGAAGAAACCAAAGGAACCACAGATCCACATGTGCAAAGGCACTGTGGTCAAAGGGACTAAAAAGAGGCCAGGAAGAGGAGGCAAGAAGGCAGGGAGCCAGTGTGGGGAGAATAGGATGAGGTGGTGGGCAGGGTCTCAAAGACCACCTTCAAGATCACTCTGGTTGTTGTAGGAGCAGATGGAAGGGGGGCATTTCTCTCACTCCCTCCTAACCTGACCAGCCCAGACCCAGAGCCATCCTCCTTCTTGGGGCTCCTGTCCTTCCCAAAACATTCTCTCTGCTAACCATTAATTACTCTGTTCCAGGCACTGTGATAAGGGCCTTATCCATGCGTCAACACTTTGGAATAGATTCTATTATTAGTGTCCTTGTTTTACAGATGAGAAGACTAGGCTAGGCACTAAAGTATCCCATGGGGCAATTATTTCTGTCTGAGCTTGTTTCCTCTTTAGATAACAAGGCCTGATTGATCCCTGCACCCAGTAGAGAGCTGAGATTCACAGTGGGTGCTTAGGAAATACTAGTTGGATAAATAAAGGTCCTAAGGGGGAATGGAATGGGACCACATTGGGGTTCCCGAGCTACAGGCTCTGGGACAATGCTCTTGGCCCTGAGAGTGGCTGGGCAAGGACTCCTTGCTCATATCATTGTCTGGCTTGAGCCATCCATCTACATGCAAGACTCTTACCCTTTCCCAGAAAGAGCAAAGCCAGATTCCCAAGTTCAGCCTCCTCTCCATTCTCTTTGCCCCTCCCAGCTGCTGTCCAAGCTTCTCTACCAGCTACAGTAGATTCCTCACCCCAAGGCTTTTCCACTCAACCATCTAAGGACTCTTCAGACAGATGATTTTTGCTCTGTGGTCACATGTGCTGCTAAAACTCTTTCCCCTTCCCAAAGGGCCTGGTACTTGGAGACTTTTTCTGGTGCCAGGGGAAAGAAATTAGGGCAGGAAAGAGAAGGGCTATTTTATTGGAGTTCTGGCCCCCTCCCTACCCCTCCAGCAAGACAATTTTTTTCCTACCTCAGGACATTTGCACACTCTATTTATTCCACTTGGAAGGCTCAGCCACTTCCCAGGCTAAGTGCTATTCATCCTTCAATTTTCAGCTTAAATATCACTTCACTAACTGCCCCCTCCCACCACCCACCAACTAGACAAGGTCCCCTTGTTATTTGTTCTTGTAATATCATGTACCTCCTCTTTACAGAATTTCCCACATATTTATGTATGTAGTCATTGGATTTTTGTGTATCACCTTTACAATAGGTCTTGTGCATTCCTGCACCCCCACCTTGGTACAGTCCCGGTGCTCCATGAGTGATTGAATAAGAAGTTTAATTCCAACTGTGATGAGCTCCCATTTCGGTGAGTAAGTCAGAGCAGACATATCTTATTAGAGGACCTAGGAATTCTTCTAAGCAACTAAAACCCTTTGCATAAACTCTGCAATCATATCTTCCTTAGAATTGAAATATAAATCCCAGCTCCAGGCCAGCCCTCGGCATTCGGCCATCACCAAGCAACTGTACCCTCACTCACTGGAGTTGTATTTGGGGCCTTCCCAGTCTAGTACCAACCAGGGTTTACTGCTGTCGTCTTCTGACTCCATCCCCTCTCCCCACCCCAATCACATGCTCAAGCCACACTGGGCTGAAGGGAATGTTTTAAATTGTATTCCATGATGTTTTCTGAGTCCCTCCTGGAAACAGAAATGCTATGGTGAAAAGCCATAGCTATGGTGGAGGCAAAAGACAGAGAAAGAATTCCCTTCGTTTGTCTGAGCCTTGGTTTTCTCACCTATAAATTAGAAAGGTACAGGATTGAGTGAAGATCTGGTGAAATAACAGATGCCCTGCCAACTAACAAAGGCTGCCTGAGCACGCGTCATTAAACCATGAGGAAGAGGAAGAGCATTGCTCTCGTAGAGGAGCTCACAGTCAAGACGCTGTGAAAGATATGTAAATGGCCCAATACATGAGCAAAATATCATGATCACTAAGAAAACATGCATGCAGTTAGGGACTACCCCTTTTGAGAGTTTGCTTGTTGTCTCTGCTCTCTCATGTGAGGACACAAGAAGTCAGCAGTCTGCTACCCAGAAGAGGGTCCTCATCTGATCCCGACTATACTGACACCCTGATCTTGGACTTCCAGCCTCCAGAACTATGACACATAAATTTCTGTTGTTTATAAGCCACCCGGACTATGGTACTTTGTTGCAGCAGAACACACAAGCCAAGTGCACATGAATGGCCTCCATTGAGGACACTGGAAGGACGGTGGAAACTTGAAAGGCATCTAAAGAGGTTTCCCCAGTGGCCTCCCAAAGTGAGTGCTTTGAAGAGGTCAGCTCTTACTTGGATACGAGCATTCTCATCTATTCATCTTTAAAAGGCAGCCTCATTTCTGTGATTCAACTCATAAATGATCTTGTTGGCTGCCATTTGTAGAGAGCTTGCTATGTGCCAGGCACTGGGCCAAGTGCTTTGTGGATTATCTCCTTTAATCCTCAGCAGCCCCAGGGATGTGAGGTCCTGCTATCATTATTCCATTTTACAGAGGTTAGGTTACCTGCCCGAGCCACAGCTGGGAAGCCAAGCCAGGTATGTGGGACTCCAAAGGCCAGTCTCCTGCCTCCCACACTATGTTGCCTCTCAGAGCAAAGACTAGAAAGTCTCCTCCATAAAACACAAGAACCCATTGCTCCTGCCTCTACTTAGCAGTTTTCCCTCAAATCAGGCCCTGCTCTTGGTGGAGGACAGATTAGACACAGCCCTTCACCCACCTGGGTTAAGGAATGGTTCGGTTCGGATCTGCTTGGGGCTTGTCCCCATCCTTGACTTCAGGGAAAACAAAAACAAAAACATAAATGCATTGGAAATCCTGAGCCAACCGTAGTGTCAGAAGGTGTCAGCAGTGGAGAAACAGAAATCACAGAAGTAGTCAGAGCAGAAAGAAACTCCCTGGGGAAGCTATTAACAATTTAGTATGTGGGAATGTAGCTCCCACCTGCCAAAAAAGACAGATCAGCCTGATGGAAAATACAGCAACTCCTCACTCCGCCAAGTGAGCAGGAAGGTCCCCTGGGCTGCCTTGCTGTCTGGCTCCATCTACAAGCCCCAGGAGGGGAAGGACCTTAGCAATAACCATAAAGTAATAACCACTCGCATTTGCAAAGTACTTTTGTCTTTTTGAAGCACTCTGATGACTTCATCTTATCTTGACATCATCTGGATACATGGGGAGGTCAGGTTTCATTATCTTCATTTTATAGCTAGGAAGACAGACAACTAGAGAGCCTGGGAGAGATCCCCAAGGATACACAGCAAATCGGGGAAAGAAATAGGGTTGATACCATCCATCTAGTTGCTCAAGCCAGAAACCTAAGAATCATTTCTGACTCCCTCCTCTTTCTCCCTAATCCCTCACTTCTAACCAATCACCAAGTCGTGTCCATTCTTCCTAGATAACCCATAAATTCTGCCATTGTTATTTATTCTTACAACCTGTCTTCCAATCAGATGCACCACCATTCTTGCTGAAACTACTGACATAGCCCTGAACTGATCTCCCTGCACCAGGCTTGCTGCCTTCAAGCAGTAACATGGCTGCAGGAATCTCCACACTTTCACCTCTCTCAACCTCGCTAGCCTCTTGTTGTGCCATCTTCCCCTTCACATGCTATGTTCCAGCCAAAATAAACTGTCTGTGGGTCTCCAAATAACCTGCTTCTCTCCCTCCGGGGTTAATCTAGTTAGTTAAGAGGTGAGTTTTGGTGTCAGACTGGTTGGATTTGAAATCCCAGCTCAACCAACTACTGGTTGCATGACTTCTGCAAGTTTCATAAGATGGGGACAACAGTACCTGCTTTATAGCACCTGGCATATAGACAGTGTTCAATATATGCTAGTGATTGCCGTGATGATGGTTTCTCTGTCCGGAACATGCTACTGCGGGCTCCCCAGCCCCTTCATCACCTAACCCACTCCTATGTCCCCTGGCACGTCTCAACTGAGATGTCACTTCCCTCCCTGCTTCGCCCAGATCAGTTTACATGAAACATTGTCTGTCTGTTCCCTTAGGGTATGTGCCCCTCCTACAAGCACAATCAGGTTCTGGGTTCCTAGAAAACCATCCCATCCCGATGTTGCTTGGGAGACCTAAATCTGTCAGGAGGAAGAGGGAATGGAGTTGAAGAGGGAGGGTGACCAAGGCAGGAGAGGAGGGAGG